TGAGCAGTATTTGTGCTTACAAGTATTCAAATAGATTCAGTCAACAACTGCAATAGCATCTGTCAGAACGCTGGAAAGGTTAGGCTTGTTGAATAACTCTTTGGCCTTGTGCTTGTCCAATTTTTCGGAGCGCTTCGCTAACGCCTTCACGTGCTGTGCGCAAGCCTGGATACAGCGACTCCAGTTTTGCTGTACTTAGACGGCAGTGTGATCTCGTCCGGACCAGTTCGGAATCAGGCTAAACAAAACCAGAAACTGCAAATTTTAACTTTTAATGCGACAATGTCTGGGAAGTGAGCACCGAGTTGCAAAGCGAAAATGTCTTATATTAGTTCCATCATCCTTTAAGTAAAGACAGTCCTGTGGAAAGTGTGTGTTCGCACAGCGGTGTACCAGATGAACCTTGGCATCGGAGCGAATTTTTCAGAATCATCGGGAAATTGCAAAAGTAGGCTGCATTTACACTACACGACGACGCGCTACATCCTACAACGCGCTGCGACAAAAAGGGCTGTTGCCGTTTGGACGCGCTCAATTTTGGCTTCTGGCTTATTTGTGAGTGCCTAGACCACCGAACTAACTGAAAACTTGTATACAGGGGTTACTTAACATGCTGATTACGAATATGACGTTCATTCGTAGCGCTGGCGCTAATGGAGAACACTAGATGATCTTCTGGCTCAACCTCAGCAGAGCGTAGATAATCGTGGTGCACTCCATTAGCGCCAGCGCCAAGAATGAATGTCATATTCGTAATCAGGATGTTAAATTACCCCTGTATACAAGTTTTCATCGGATTTGGTGACCTAGGCACTTCATAAATGAGCCAGGAGCCGAAATTGAGAGCGTCCAAACGGCATCAGCTCAACAGAAGGGCGTGGATATTGGAGCGGGGCTTGGCAGATCTTGCGGTGAAGTTTCATGCTCTATGAAACGATTTCGTAAAGTGGAACTCACATCGGCAGACAATACTTCGTACTCCCAGTTCGGATTGATGAGCTTACGATACAATTCGGAAATTTCTGGAAAGCGAATTGCTCCGGGATTGACGAGATTGATGACACCGGTTTCTCTGAAAAAAAAACTTATCGACTCTGTAATATCAGAAGTCAACCACCCAGACGTCACTGCGGTGTGGTAGAGCCGCAAGCTCGTGGAACTTCGGTCTCCACTGCAGCACTTTTTCCTGTTGTTTCAAGTAGGCTATACCCCCCCCCTCCCACTACACCCGTTCGGCGGTAGTTTTCTGGTGGAAAACCGGAGAACTCTTGAAAAAAACTCTGGAAGATAGGAGGAAGTTGGGAAAATTCAGAAAGGCGGTAGGCAGAGGGAGGATTTTTCTCTAACGGCAGGACGTGCCCCGTGAACATGAAGGTAGTCGACCTTGATTTGTGGCGAGGTGTTGATACCCTCGTTGACTGAACATGAAGGTAGTCGACCTTGATTTGTGAAGAGGTGTTGATACCCTCTCTGACTGGAGAGTATATCGATACACGGTACAGTATCCTTGAAAAAATCCCATCAGGGAGGGGGTATTTGGTCGTTTTGTCAGTGAGTCCTGCCTGGTCTTGACAGAAGTTCCTCCGAGCCGCCAGAGAATTTTTGGCGCACTTCGGCTGTGAGTGGTTGGGTGGCGTGGGGGGGGGGAGGGCGAGAGAGCATTTTGCACTTTCGCTGGTTTCCATTGTCCTGCCGAGCCAAGTAGAGATCAGTGAGATCTCGAGAAGCCATGAAGTGAACCAGTGAAAGTTTGTAAAGACCACCGTCCAATTTTGTAAAGGATATCTGCCAATTCTTGAAATGCTTAGAACACGACAATAGAAACCAGCCAAAGTGCGAAATACCCCCCCCCCCTTCACTTAGAAAACTGCGCTAGATTCTTCTCCGTTGACCTCTCGCGGTCTGCCCCGTTTCATGTGTGTTATAGACCCTCCTAGTTAGCAGCGTCGTCAAAGTCTTGCACAAATACTATTTCTGTTATTTGGAATTATTGGGGTTGATAGGTTTTTGCTGAACACTCCCACTTTAGCTCGCCGCTCGAAAGCAGTTTTTTGGGGAAAAACAGGAAAGTTCTGAAAATTTGGGAAAAATGTTGGCAATATGGGAGTGTGAAGGTTATGAAGATGACAGGTAGGACGGGGGAGGGGTGGTACCTGAGAAAGAAATTCGGTGGAGGGGGGGGGGTCGTCTGACACCGACATTTCTCCCATGTCTCTCATTTCACTGGCAAAATCTCTCGTTATAAACTTCTCTTAACACTTGTTTTTTTGTGACTTACCTCTTGAGCGCCATGTCCAGCAAAATTGGTAGGCAATCAGGTAGAATAGTAATCGAGTTCGGTATGTCAAGAACCTTCTTGAACGCCATGAGCTACAAAATAGTGTGGTGATTTGTGAGAGAAGAGATCATTACTGAATATCCTTACCTTCGCAACAAGATTACGAGTGTCGGCTTCATAATTCACTGGCAGTCGAATTCGGCATTGCAAAGTATTGTCGAAATGTCTCAGAAGTCTATCCGTGAATCCTTTCACAGCAGAGTAGGACGTGCCGTCATAGTTGCCTGTGTCCTCTTCCTTGAAAAGTCGCGCTTATCAGTACTAGGTACATCATTTCTCCCTTTGTTCTTCAAAAGCAATCTGTACAATCACCTGCGAGAGTGATCGTTGCCATGTGCGAGATGAATGGGTCCGCAGCTGCAGTGGCGTACCACTTTCTGTGGACAAAAACGCTGGGAACGAGGTTGGAGGGTAGTGATGCCCGAGTGCCCTCTCCATACTCCACCCATGCTGCCGCACTGCCAGCCAGGCGCCTAGCTATAGCCAAACGCACCACCTGTCTGCGTCCTCTTACTTCTGGCTGTTCTCTACAGCCGAGTGTGTGTTTCGCTGCGGGACTTTAGTATCTGCGCAAGTGCTGCATATTGAGGAGAGCGCGAGCGGAGTATGGAGCCAGTTGCGAACATCACTCCCCTACAGCCCCGTTCCCGTGCACGTTGCAGCGGGAAGGGTAACACGCTGTTGCAGGTGCACACCCATTCATCTCGCAGATGGCATGGACGGTCCTCGAAGGTGACTGTACAATTTCTCTCAGAGTGAAAATGCTTCATATTCTAAGTGTGATCATACCGTATATCCAGGACCGTCATCCATTCGATGCTGAGTGTCGTATTTGAATAGACAACCTGTTCCCAGATAGGTGTAATGTATGTTCATCTTCTCGCATAGACTGGCTAATATCCAAGGGGCATAAAGGTTGTCACGCATATTCACCTTTAATTTATCTGGACCTCCTTCCAAGAATGTTACGGTATTGTTACCTGAATGTAGATGTGGAAATGAATAACAGCTGTGACTGTGATTCATCTTGGCTTAGCACCGGTTGAACTGGGTTGCCTATGCTACCTTTCTCAAGACAACAAGCCAAATGAGAGCAATCAGTATTGGAAAACGGGAACCATATTGAAGGTTGTGTTGCAGTTTTTCTCAGCATGGTTGTAATGTGCGCCGCGCATACTACTACTGATCCGATTTTATTTTTGTGATACGAGTTGTGATATTACGGTAGTAAAATCAGGGCATGTCAGACGGGATCCTCAGCGAGGGATGTTGTGTTCCGTCGCTGAAGAGAGCGAAGGATCGTATCTGCCTTTGAGAAAAGTGTTTTTGATAGCTGGTTTTTCTTGGTCTTTTATGTGCTATTCTGTGTGCTATACCCTCCCCCTCTCCCCTCCCTCTCCCCTCCTAAGCAACAACTTTTCGGGGGATTCGAACAAGAAAAGGAGGTGTTTCCAGAAAGAATCGTAAAATATTGGGTTGGAACATAAGTAATGGCGTTTTTTTTCAATTGAAAATTTGTTTCAAAAGTGAAAAGTTTTGCAAGCAAGCTTAATATCGTTTAATAGCAAACTTCTCGTAGTATTAGAATATCAAATTCAAATTCAATTAATTCAACTATTAGCATGAAATTTCTAAATAGAGGCAGTTGTCGAAGATGCTAATTTTCGCCGACTTCACTTCCAACTTCAACGACTAAAAAATTCACAAAACTATATCCTCAACCAAAGCTTTTTTGATATTCTTACGAGAAGTTTCCTATCAGATGATATATAACTTGCTTGCAAAACATTTCACTTTTAAAACAAAATTTTCAGTTGAAAAAAACGCCATTACTTATGTTCCAACCATAGTGTGGAAAGGCTGGGGAAGATGCGGGTAGCTTAGGCGGATTGGGAAGGGGGGGGGGGTTTGTACCAGAGAGCGAAATTGAGGGACCGTATTTATTGCCCACATTTTTGGCTCAACTGTCAACAATGTTTTGCTAATTTTTTGCTCAGAACGCGTGCGCCGACGAAAAATATGTCCGTGTGCTGCTAAAGCAGCTTCGTCTTATCCTTAACACCTGAACTCATCGAGCTGGAATATCCAGTCAACCCCTGTCGTTGATAGCGAGCTAAAAGTGATCAAACAAGTGTTGAAAACTAGGTGCAACAAAGATGCATTTGCAGGGTGGGTTGTTAAGTGCTTTCTATACTGCGATGCGATCGCTCAAATTGCGCGATAATCGCCAGCGAGTTGACGGCGCTCGCGAGCTTCGCGCAGTTCACGCTTGGCGTAGACCGTGCGTGATCCGAAAGATCAGTCGAGAGATATGAGTGGGGGCCTATATTCCCCTTTATTCTGACAAAGCAGCACAACACATGCTCAGAAAGGGACGATCGGCTTACTTGTTTCGAACACGTTAAAATTAGCACCGTTCGCCTTGCGTTCGTCCTAGCATTGGAGAGATGACATTGCCTAGGGAGCTAACCGTAACGGATTCGCTCGCGTAGACACTGCATCGAGTGTCAGATCCGGGCCTTGTAGCAGCTTCGTACGTAAGCGATGACCCTTTCTCCTGTAGCACACTGAGGGCGATTTGGCGGACCATCATCTTTCGACTGCCAATACAGCAGGATTTTTGTGCACGCAGGATCCAGATGAAGGGAGGGATTGCGAGGGGAGCGCCAATGTCGCTTAGCGCTGAAAATGTTTGAATCATAATCATTATATATCCATCGCTTGGTGCAGTTGCCAGTGCTAGTTAGTTGACGTAGTGAATGAGCAGGCCAAGCCGAAGGGTACCTTTGAGAACGTCCCCTCTGGCCTGAAATCCCAGCTCAGTTGATGCTTTCTCAGTGTTGAAATTCGTGGACTGAGGAGAGAGAGTCACGTCCTTTCCGTTGATGAACTGCAATTGATAAAAGTGTTTACAAGGAGAGCAAATAATAAAATTAACAATTCACACCTACAAAATTACACAAAACTAATCATTTAGCACCTACTGTGCCATGAAAGCGATAGCTGTTATGGTATCGCCCTTCGATATGGGTGACACTGATCCGCGACTACAGTCTTGTTCCAACAGACGCTGGGCGTACAGGGTGCGGGGGGGGGGCGGGTGGTGACACCAGTGCCAGGCCAGCCAGCCAGGGCTTCCCCCTACCGTTGTCGCCTTATTCAACTTCACAATCGGTGCGAGACGCGGCTGGCGGCCGCCAAATCCACTTCCCTCCCTTGACATGTCCAGCCTCGCTCAGCGCAAAAAGGACTATAGTAGAGTGTGAACATCTTCGCCTATTGAAGCGTGTGCTGCACAAGCCCCTGAAAGTTGCGATGACCGCGAATCGCCGCCCGCACCACGTGTAATGCTGCCGTGGATCAGTGTACCGACAGCGCTGTTCTTGCCCCCTCTGAGAGTCAGGCATTATTTTAGGTGTTTTCAAGGTCTATTCTATTTCTTTCTCTTCTACAGAAAATATTTATTTAGCATACAAATTCGTTTGGACCCCATCACCTAGAAACCGCAGCGAACAAATATGTTTTCTCTTGATAAGGTAGCTGCATATAGAAAATCGAAAAGTTGAGGGAATTCCAAGTTTAGTACGAATGTTGTTCAGTTGAACCTACCTTCTTCACCTCGTCAACCAAGTAGTCTTGAGAACCACCAATGTTCCAAACTTCAGCGTTTTGTGCTTTTTCTACTGCTGCTATAATACCTCTGACAGCATCTTCTACGGTGAGTAGATTAACTGAAAAAGGCGGTGTGACTTGAAAAGTTTTGAATTCTTTGGTTCGAAAACCGCGTGAAACTCCAAGGGTATTTTTGTTAGCAAGTGGGGCGCGGGCTTTTAGCTCTCACTGGTAGACCAGCAAGACGCCACTATCCTAATGGGGACGGTAAATTGGTAGCAGGTTCGTGCGGGAGGATAAATCTGAAGGTCATTGCAAAGGCCATATTGCACTCAATACACAACTACGACTCTTAATGATAGTGAAATGCGCGCCGCATCCCGGATGGCCGCTTCTCCAAAGAGAACTGATCAACTGCGGAGGCTCAAATCTTTCTGAGCGTATACAAAGCATTGCTTAGTGTAAGGGGGGTGCGCTCCTTGAGTTTTAGCGCACGAGTGCTGAGGGAACCCGTACTATGGAATTGCGATCCATTCACATCGCTCCTTCCATGGCTTTAAAGTGGGGTTGAACTAACCAGTAATTCGTATTTTCGAGTGTAGCTGAACGACAGCGACAATTGGTGCCGCTATCGCACGCGCAGTTCGGAGTTGGGTCTACGGCCAGATAGAACTGCCAGCTGGGGGCTCTGGGCTCCCAATTAAAGCTGTATTAATATACAGGGGGGGCCAAAAAAAGTCATTCCGGCCGAGTCACATATGAGCGAAGTTTTCGCAGCCCAGACAGAGGAAGTGGATATGAGTACCAGGGCGGAAGATACCCAAGATCTTCCTCTATAAGCAGGAGCCGGCTGCCGCCATTCACCTTCATGTACACCAAAATATGAAGTCATCTCCAGTCGCGGCCTGAGTGGAGAACGCCTTTGGAATTCACGTGGCCTCCAAACAGCTGCGGAACTTCTTGAATGGAATCACCCATGGATAGCTACCTGGAGACCAGTACTCTTGATCTGCAAGACCTCAAACATCGAGCAGCTCCGGCAACGTCGCTACGGTCCAGGACATCATCTTCACCCCATTCACCAAGGCGCGGGTTGATGGTGTGGACCGGCCGTACCTGGAATGGGAAGACCGATATTTTCTTTGTAGACCCCGACTGAAGCTGGGCGCTGGCGGTTACATCGACCAACTCAAGAAGAATATCTTCCCCACATGCCGCCGCTCGTACCTTCTTGGAGACCTTGTACTGCTACAGGTTTGGGTGCCACCACATGGAATCGAAGGGTTTTGGAAAAACTCCCGCCTACTTCGAATGGAAGGGCGTTTCGTACCTGATGAAGATGTAATATTGAAATATGTCCCCTGACCTGAACCCACTCAATTACCTAGTTCGGGCGGAGCTCAACAGGGTGGTCTACAGTGGCGGAGAAATCAACGATCTCGCTCAACTCCCGGTACCCACTCACTTTCGCGCGGCCGAATCTCTCGATGGCGCTCCTCCAGAAGGCTGTGGCGGAGTATCATTATAGTATTTAATGTGCTCTTTAATATGGTAGTAAAATGTCCGATAAAAATTTAATAAAGTGTAACTTATAGCGCCTTGAAAGTCATGGAGGCAAAATGACTTTTTTTTGGCCCCCCTGTATGCTTTACGCTTTATGGCTCGCCCTATAGAGACAAGGCATGAGGGCGGGCGGCTACTGCAAACGTCATTGGTGGAAGGGCTGAGTGGTGTGCCCAAACGCCCTCTAGCAGCTCTTCCACCAATGACGTTAGCAGTAACCGCCCGCGCCCAGCCATCGTGCTCACTGCCTTCAACATCTACTCACCATTAGTCTCACAAGACTCAATTCTCCGTTCAAGAGAGTCGTTGATCAGTCCATAGCTGAGTCTGACTACAGCCAAAGGGAGATGATAAGAGACGACGTATGAATGCAGCATCGCTTCGGCCGACATAAGCGCTGCACCTCGCCAGTTCACTGGAGTCAGCGGCACCGACTCAACGCCATCGGAAAGTCCATAGACCTCAATTTTGCGAGAATTATTTATTGATGTACTAAAGTTGGTGAGCATAATATCTCACTGCAATTATTTTGGTTGTTTTTTGTCTTGACCTTCACGAAT